CGCTGTCCCCGCCGCCGCCGCCATTTTCGGTCCCGGAACCACGTGGGCTGAAACCACAGTGGGCAGCGCCATGCTGTCTCGGATCACGTGACCCGAGAGTGACAGGGAGCTATGGCAACCGACGCCCACGCCCCCCTCCTCTGGGGAGCGCGGCCACTTCCGCTCAGTACTGAAAAAAACGGCTCTAAGCCCCTGGCTCGATGAGTGAAGACACACGCAGCTAAGCCGGGTGACCTGAGTTCAGTCTGTGGAATCCACAAGAATGGGAACCGATTCCTGCAAATTCGCTTGCGCAGACACAGAATAAATGCAATTTTAAGACATGTTTTTTTTTTCCCTACTGAGCAAAATACAGCACCTCGATACGATGATTTACCAGGAATCCCAAGATTTGAGAGACTTAGCAAAAAAAAAAAAAAAAAAAGGATTGTGTGGAGTCAGAGAACAGAACCAACACTGGCAGTTCGTTTCCGGTCAGGTTGGGCTACCAAGAGAACCAATCTCAACAACAAAACCTTGAGTAGAGTCTGTTGTTGCACGCTGGGAAGGCAGAGGCTAGCCTGTTCTACATAGCAAGCTCCAGGACAGTTAGGGCAAAAGTGTGAGCTACCACAAAAAGAAGAAGAAGAAGGAGAAGAGGAGGAGGAGGAGGAGGAGGAGGAGGAAGCGAGGAAGGAAGGCAGGGAAGGGCCGCGGAGATCTTTAGAAAAAGGAAAAAAGGCATTGTAGAGCACCCTGCAATCCCAAATCTCAGCACTTGGGAGGTAAAGGCAAGAGAGTTAGGAGTTCAAAACCATCCCCAGCTATACAGTAACTTCAAGGCAAGCCTCAAAAAGCAAAATAGGGGCTGGAGAGATAGCTCAGCAGTTAAGAGCATTTGGTTTTGTTTCTTCGTTTTTTTCGAGACAGGGTTTCTCTGTAGCTTTGGAGGCTGTCCTGGAATTCACTCTGTAGACCAGTCTGACCTCAAACTCACAGAGATCTGCCTGCCTCTGCCTCCCAAGTGCTGAGATCAAAGGTGTGCGCCACCAACAAATGGTGCATTTGTTGCTCTTACAGAGGATGTGGGTTCAATTCCCAGCCCACACAACCACTCCAAATTCTCCTCAGACCAGACAGATAGGTGTTGTACATGCATACATGTAAGCAAAGTGCACGCACACATACACACTTCAGAATTTTAAATAAAAGCTTCCTGGCTGGAGTGCTCTGGGTTCGGTCCCCAGAACACATACACGCAGACAGACACAGCATGAGAATGGATGTCTGTATGCGTATTTCATACATGTAGTCCCTAACTAGCCTATGTCATACAGTGTTCATTCATTCATTTTTTTTTTTTTTTGCTTGTTTTATTTTTCAAGACAGTGTTTCTTTGTGTAGCCCTGGCTGTCCTGGAACTCACTCTGTAGACCAGACTGGTCTCAAACAGAGATCTGCCTGCCTCTGCCTCCCAAGGGATTAGAGGTGTGGTTCATTCATTAATTCATTCATGAGTTTAGAACAGGGCACAGCCATCAGCCATTTTTCAAAGGAATTCTAGCATTAGAAAAAAGAACCCTAAAGCCCAGAAACTCATCCCCCACCATTGCTTTATTCACTGTGTGAGATGTGTGCGTGTGTGTGCGCGCGCGCGCGCGCGCGCGCGCGTGTGTGTGTGTGTGTGTGTGTGTGTGTGTGTGTGTGTGTGCTCACGTGTGGTGTGTGTGCATGCTCATGTGACGCCCATGTTAGCCCTTTTCCTAAACAGGATAAAACCAGTTGAATTATGTCAACTTAAAGCGCCTTCTGCCAGCAGAGGGCGCAACCATACCACATTGCAGTGAGCTGCTCTGTGGAAAGGCTCTACTGGGCAGGGCTACTTACCCTACCCCGTGAAAAAGGCTAAAGGACAACAGTTTCCAGAGGTTGTAGGAATGCCTCAGAACACCAAAGCTGAGGTTTCACTCACTAATACAGTACCTGCCCAGCATATTCAAGGCCCGTGCGCTTGTATAAGAGCAGAGGCCCAAGGAGGTCCAACGTCCTGCCTTGGACATTGAGTTACTCTCTATTTTATCTCACTGAACCTGAGACTACTGTCAACCAGCAAGACCCACTGATCCTCATGTCCACACTCCTGCCCCAGTGCTGGTGACCCACTGATCCTCATGTACACCCCCCCCAGTGCTGGTGACCCACTGATCCTCATGTCCACACCCCCCCCAGTGCTGGTGACCCACTGACCCTCATGTCCACACTCCCCCCCACCCCCCATGGCTGGAGTTACACACATGTGCCCACACATTCCACAGCACTCTTGTGGAGGTCAGAAGACAACTTACAGGATTCTGTTCTCTCATCATATGGGTCCCAAGAAGTCAAATTCAGATTGTCACCTTAATGTACAGGTTTGTCTCCCTAGTACCCACACCAGCTATTTAAAAAAAAAAAAAAAATGTTTTCAAGGTAGGGTCTCTTTCTGTGAAGCTTTGGCTGGCCTGGAACTCTGTAGACCAGCCTGGCCTTGAGCTTACAGAAATCCACCTGTCTCTGCCTCCCAAGTGCTGGGATTAAAAAAACATGCACCACCACCACCTGGCTTAAAAATTTTTATATGTATGTTTTGCCTCTGTGAACATCTGTGTACTGAATGCAAGCTATGACTATGGAGGGGGAACAGGTGTATCTCCTGGAACGGGAGTTGCAATTGTGAGCCACCACGTGGATAATGGACTAGAACCTGCTTAACCATCTCTCCATTCCTGTATTGGTTGTTTTGTTTTTTTAAACAGAACAAGCTCTCACATAGTTCATGCTGAACTCAAATTCGCTATGTAACCAAGGCTGATCCTCCTGCTTTCACTTTGTGTATGTGTCTGTGTAGACAGGGTTTCTCTGTTTAGCGCTGGCTGTCCTGGAACTCACTCTGTAACCCAGGCTGGCCTCGAACAAGAGATCCACTAAATAGAGGCATGCACCACCAACACCCAGCTTGCCTTCACCTTTTTTAAGTGGGAGGACAAGCATAAACCTAGCGACTTTGTTGTGGTTTATCTTGAGACAGGGTTGCAATCTGTAGACTAGGCTGCCCTTGAACTATGCAATCCTACTTGACCTCTCACAGCAATCTCCCTGCCTGCCCCAGCCTCTAAGTGTTGGAATTATAGGTGTATGCCACCACAACCACTTTCAACGTTCAACTGTATTGACAGGGTCTCACCATGCAGCCTTTCCTGGCTGTACTTGAACTCAAAAGCCCACCTGCCTCTGCCTCCTGAGTGCTGGGATTAAAAGCACATGTCACCATACCCAGCTCCCTGTGCTATTTTGATTCACCCATTAGGTTAGGCTGGCTGGCCAATGAGCACAAAGGATCTGTCTTGTTCCCAGTAATAGGATTACCGAAGAGCATCATTGCCATGGTCTTGAATGTGCTGGGGCTCATCTCATGGTCTTGTTATTGGTCGGCAGGTTTTATAGACTCATCTTTCTTCCCAGCCCCTGGAGAGGTGACTAATTTATGAAGGATGAACAGAGGGACTTCTCTGGGGTCCAAATCTTTCTTTTCTTTCTTCCTTTAGATAGTGGGTTTTTTTGTTTTAGTTTGGTTTCATTTTATGAGACAAGGTTCCTATGTGTAGCCCTGACTGTCCTAGAACTCGATATAGATCAGACTGCCCTCAAACTCAGAGATCCACCGGCCTCTGCCTTCCAAGTGCTGGGATTAAAAGCCTGCACCACAACCTGGCTCCCTTGCTTTTCTTGTTGTTGTAGTCAAATGCCTAGCAGCAGTTTAAGGCTACTACGCCTGGCTTACATGGTTTTGTAGCACACACTGGCCAAGATTTTTGGGCTTAGGGGGAGGGTGGGGAGTCAGCCAAGTGCCTCAGTGTGCCTGTGGAAACTTGTTTTTTTTTTTCACACGATTGTAGAGTTGTGACCTAGGACAATTTTGTTCTTTTCTTTTTCCTTCCTGTATAAGATGTGGCTTTGCTTGGTGCTGCTTCAGTTCTACCAGCTACCACATAAAACCCCTCCAACCGCTTTTACTTTTGAATTTTTTCTAAGTTGCCGAGGAGGGGGAGAGGCAGGGAGTGGACTGTAAGGCAAATGCAGTTTTTTAATTTGCTAGGTAGCTTTAGAGAGCCAGGATTGTGTGCATATGTGTATATGTATATATCCATATCTAAGATTACTACTTAGTCTCATTCAGGAGCTGGGAGAAAAAAACTGTACAGTTGTCTTTCTCTTATTTTAATAAAATAGGAAACTCACGCCCCTTCCCCCTTTTTAAACAAGTGTTATAATTGCTGGCAAAAGTTGCTGTAGTTGTAATTTTAAACTTTTAAAATAATAAAACTGGAAAAAAAAAGATTTTGGGGCTCAAGTTATTCCTTAGCCTTCCACGGTCCAGAAGCACAGAAACAAGGAATGGGCTGGTGATTTAAGACCTGAAGGGTGACTGGGCGTTGGTAGCACACGCCTTTAATCCTAGCACTCAGGAGGCAGAGGCAGGTAGATCTTTGTTGAGTTTGAGGCCAGCCTGGTCTACTCTGGCTCCAAAGCTACACAGAGAAACCCTATTTCTAAAAACCAAAAAG